TATTTCTAGTTCTATATGTGGTTCCTTTTAAACATCTCTGTTGTGAGAACTTTTTTTAAAAAAAACCTTCAATACCCTGGAGTAATTAACCCAAGCTGTGTTGATGTACAGGAATGGATTTTATTAGCACTTGAATCAATACTTTGCTCTTTAAGTGCTTTGCAGTTGACAGAATGTAGGGATGAAGGCTCTTTTTTCACAAGTTGAGCCAATCGCTAGAAGAAAAGTGTCTCTGGTTCAGTTTGTTATGACGTATTCGATTTCTGTACAATTTCTACAGATCTCTGTGTATTGACAAAAAGTGACTGGTCATATTGATGATATTTTATAGATTATTTTGAATTGAACACTGTAGGTACATATACGGCTTTAATGTACTTATTTACAGTTCCAATCCTATTGTTCTTTTAAGTGTTTATCCATTTCATATTGACACACCAAGTACAAAAATACCTTTCGGACCGCATCTTGGCCTATGAGCCCACGAGGACCTTGAGATCGTCTGGGGAGGCCCTTCTCTCGATCCCGCCTGCTTCACAGGCACGTCTGGCGGGGACGAGAGAAAGGGCCTTCTCGGTGGTGGCCCCCCGGCTGTGGAACGACCTCCCTGCTGACATCAGACAGGCGCCTTCCCTTCCGTCCTTCCGTAAGAGCCTGAAGACCTGGCTATTTGAGAAGGCATTCAACTGAGCGCTACGGCAACTGGTAATTGACAACTGGAACGGAATACGGATTACGATATTGGTTATGATTCTATGATGTGACGGAGCGGATTATTTAGTGTAACTAGATTATAGTGTATTATTGTTGTATTGATTTCCTGTTTTGCCCTTTTGTAAACTGTTTTTATATGTTGTGCACCGCCGCGAGTCGCCCTAGGGCTGAGAGCGACGGTCAATAAATGCAGTAAATAAATAAATAAATAAATAAAAACATTTGAATTCCCTTTGGGTATTGCAAAGCTTTTAAGAGACTGAACTAAACAATGTTACAAGAAACTACACAGTAGGATATAATGGTTAAGACTATGGGGCATCAATGTTCAAAAGCCATGTCCAGATACTTGTCCTCTAGAATGACCTTATTTAAGCCAATCTCTCAGGATTACTGACCTTACAGGGTTGTTCTAAAACTAAAGTGCCTGCAGAAAGAACACAAGGCAAATGGAAAAAAATAATGTTTCTCTAAAGATCCTCAGATTGACAGAAATGTATATAAGGATGAGCACCATCAAGATTAGAACAGCAAATAGGGTAGATTCTCTCATTAAAGGTAAAGGTTTCTCCTTGACATTAAGTCTAGTTGTGTTTGATTCTGGGGACTGGTGCTCATCTCCATTTCTAAGCCGAAGAGCAGGCATTGTCCATAGATGGCTCCAAGGTCATGTGGGATTCTCTCATACACAGAGCTAATCATGAAGCAAGGTGCATGCATTTATGGGGCTAAATCTAGAATAAAGTCATTTAAATCATTAAGACTTGTTAACCATCACTTCAAATAGAATTCTACTCCCTACATCTCTGCTTCCTCTGGAATAATAGTTCCTTTAGACCAGTGATTCTCAACCTGTGGGCCACCAGATGTTTTGGCCTTCAACTCCAAGAAATCCTAACAGCTAGTAAACTGGCTGGGATTTCGGGGAGTTGTAGGCTAAAGCACCTAAGGACCCACAGGCTGAGAACCACTACTTTAGACAAAGGCTGGGAATCACGGCCTCTTCAAACACGATTGGATTGTGCCAGCCAGTAGTCTTAGCCAGTTCATTCAAAGGTGAATACTGGAAGTTACAATTTGGCCAAATAGAGGACCACATTTTTCCTACCCTAACTTCCCAACAGTTAAAGGTGTGAAATCCATGGAGTCTGGACATTGTGTTTTGCTGGATAATGATTTACTGACACTTAGAGCAGTGGGTATTGAGGTCTCTGATATAGGAAGTCTGGTATTTCCTCCCAGAATGCACCGGGGACCAGTATTGTATTTGAGCTAACTGGCTACAAATGTACCTTTCTTCTCTGAAAACTCTCAGTGGAATGTCTGATGGTTTGTTGACTAGCACCGATCCACTTTGAGTAGCACTTATCAAAACCACACAACATGAATTACAGGATTATTTGCACATACTTTATGTTTCTGGCTTGTTTCAAGCTCCCCTTTCCGATAGCCAATGAAAATCCAGGGTGCGGCCACATGAGGATTTTACTTCTGCAGAGCGTGCATGTGTATAATTACAGACAATGCCATCTTCCATTTTTATACTTTTCCTGTTTTCTTATTGCTTCGTCCTTTTTTGTTTAAAAAAATATTGAGGAAAATATGCACAGTTTTGATTAAACTGTTTGGGAGCACTGCATCTGAAGGCACCTGTAAGTTTAGAGTTTGTTTTCAATTATATTTCCAGTAATGGAGGAGCACACTTTTCGGCTTTCTTTGTTCTCGGCATTCCTAGGGATTCCTCCAGGTGAAACCTCTAAACATGGCATCACTTGCTACAACCACAATTGCATGCCTCTCCTCTCCAAGTCTAGACCAAAGACATCTAGGCAACAGGACTAGGGCACCAAACCAGGCAGGCTCTTAGACTGTTCCCATCCCGCTGCCCCTATCCAAACCTTGTGCAGTAATGTGATCTGGTATCAAAACCTTACACACACATTCAGGCGGTTTTGCTTGGCTTCATAACAACATTAAATTAGTATGGATTTTGCAATGTGTGCGTTACCCATGGGCATTTTATTTGCTTCTGAATTAACACCAGGCCATGTAAACTACTGCATAATGAACTCTCAAAACTCTGCTTTTTAAAAAGGTAGCCTTTCCACATGCAACCTCACTGCTTTTATACAAAAAAAAATCACCATTATGAGGAATGAAGTCTTTTCATTTTTGCCCCGATGCTTCTATTCACAGGAGCAAAAATCTTTCATTCTTTTTAAATTAAAAACTACCTGTTGTAAACACTGCATAACATGATATCAAAGAGAAAGAAAATGAGAGGATGAGGGGAAAACATAGAACCATAAAGTTGGAAGAGGCCTCAGAGGCCATCAAGTTGACACTCCATGGTAGAGCACTGCTTCTTAAATTGAGGATCCCGAGCCCAAACGGGGTCCCCTTAGTGCAATGTTGGCCCCAAAAAAATTTCTGAACCTCATTCAGTGGCCGTTTTACACATATTTTACACAAATCTGTTGTGCAGTGCTTACAGCAGAAGATGCTTCAGCTGTACTTCATAAATATGGAAATTAGAGGTTTAGCAAGCCTTGAAGATGCTAATTTATCAATAAATGCTTGGTTTGTATACCTATTGGATATATCTGTGTAGCCAGGGTCATGTTAAAAAAATGGCCAAAAGGTGGCCCAAGTGGTAACCTTTTTCATGAGGGAGCACTTGAACAGGGACCACTTTGACCAGGGACCACTCTCCAACACTAAAACCAAAAGGATTATGAATCAGTTCTTAGTCAATTTCAGATTCGGTTTGGTTATTTGGGGTGCTGAATCGGAAATTTGCATTGGATACACCACATCAGCTCTAGTTACTGATAAATAACTTATTCCATCCAGTAGTTGCCACCTGCTTGCCCACAAAATGAACATATTTAATAATCAGATGTGGTAGTACTAATCTTTTGTGGGTAGTCATCCTCTCCCCTCCTGACATCCCCATTGCCTCAGTAGCACTACAAGATGTTTTCACAAGATCAGTTGCTCTAGTTGTTGTGTGATTTCGAGGCAACTGTGCAGTATTGGTGAGGCCGCGGACTATATTTTTGTTCTTGCAGACCACTGGTGGTCCATGGACCACAGGTTGGGAACCACTGCTTTAAGAAGTCCTGTGTTTGATCATCCCAAGGAGGGAGCTGTCCAGCACTTTAGGAGCCATTCCACACAGCCATATAACTCGGAATATCAAGGCAAAAAATCCCACAATATCTACTTTAAACTGGGTTATCTGAGTCCACACTGCCATATATTCCAGTTCAAACCCGAAAATGTGGTATTTTATTCAGTTGTGTGGAAGGGGTCTAAGTAACTGATTCCATCGTCCAACTACGATTACCATCAAGAGGTTTCTTCTCAGGTTCAATTGAAGTCTTCTCTCCTATAACTTCAAACCATTACACCTTGTCCCATGTTCCAACTGGACTGACAGGAGCCAACATTCATTTTCAGTTGAGCTGCTAAGCCCCTTTCCCAACAGCTGTTGACATCCCACCTAACCATCTAGTCATGTTTGCCCTTGCATTATAAACTTATAAGGCAAGGCTTAGCAAGGATAAAAAAAAACAAGGAGGAGAAAAATCCAATTCCGTAAGACAAAGGAAGCATGGCAACAAAGCAGGACAAACCTGCACCTTGTGACAGCTCTTGTGATAGTGAAGGAGAACCTCTCAACCCTTCCCTCCCCTCTACACCAGGCTGAACATGCCCAACTCCCTCACCCTCACTGCCGATGTTTGGTCCTCCCTCAATCTGATTATCCTTGGGATGAAAAAGAGATGGCAGAAAGGAGGAGGAGGCATCTGGAAGAGATGAGAGAGAGGGACCTGGATGAGTTGGAGCAAAGGTCCTCCGTCCAGAGTGAGAGGTTGCCAGGAGCCAAGAGGTATCTGCTGCAGCCTCTTTTTCTCTTCCCATTTTTTGCGGTATCCCATCCCTGGGATAGGCGAGATCTTTCCCCAGGTATTTCCTTCCCGCGTTCCCCATCCAGGGATGGAGAGATGAGCATCCATCCATTCATTCTTCCTCCCTTTGGGGGGGATGAGAAAGACGTCCACCGTCCTTAAGGTGGAACGAAAAGGGCCAACCCCAGGTCTACCTTAAACGTCGCCTGGAGCAGGGGCATCTCAGACCCGCTGGCGGTCAGATCCCACCCCCACCCCCCCCTCCCCACCGAAGCATCCTGAGTCTCCTCCTCTTGCTCCCCCTCCCCTCCTCTCCCGGAAGCCAGCGCTGCTGAGGAAGAGAGGAGGGGGCCTTGGAGGAGGAGAAGGAGGCGGCGGCGGCGAGGCCCGCGCGGGGGTCCCCCTTCCTGCCCGGATTGGTCGGCGGCCCCTTCTCCCTGGGCGTCGAAGGAGGCTCTGATTGGCCGCTCCATCTTGTCACTCGGGCGAGGGCCAAGTTCTACCGCGGGCTGGGCGTGCGGAGGGGGATTGCTGCTGCTGGTGGTGCAGCTGCGGCGAGAGCGAGCAGGACCCAGAGCCCGAGCCAGAGCCAAAGCGGGCGGATGGATGGAGGCGTGATGCTGGCGAAATGGGGAGCCGGGCAACAGAGGCTGCGGGGGCTCCGCTGAAGGCGCGGCGGGGGCTGCCAAGGCGACGCCTCCGGTGAGCTCGGGTGCCGCGTGCGTCTCGGGGTGGGATGGGAGGCGCCTGCCCCACTCACTGCCTCACTGCCTGCCTGCCGGGGAGAGGCGGCTCGGGAGGGAGGGAGGAAAGGAGGGAGGAAGGGAGGGTGGGAGAGGGACCCAAGGAGGGAGAGGTCCAGGAGCACAGCCCGGCGCCCGCACCTGAGGACTCCTTCCTTCCTGCCTGCCACCCTCTCTCCTTCCAGCCTCCTTCCGTCCTTCCTTCCTTCACCCCCTCCTTTCATCCCCTCCCTCCCTCTTTTCCTTCCTCCTTCCCTTTCTTCCTTCTTCCCTTCCTTCCTTCTCTTTTCTTCTCTTCTCTTCCTTCCCTTTCTCCTTCCTTCCTTCCATCCTCCTTTCCTTCCTTCTCCTCTTCCTTCTTCCCTCCCTCCTTCCCTTCTTTCTTTCCTTCCTTCCTTCTTTCCATCCTTCCTCCTTTTCTTCCTTCATTCTTTCCTTTCTCCCTCCCTTCCTCCTCCCTTTGCTTCCTTCTTTCCTTCATCCCTCCTTTCCTTCTTCCCTTCCATCCTCCTTTCCTTTCTTCCTCCTTCCCTCCCTTCATCCTTTGCTTTCTTCTTTCCTTCCTCCTTTCCTTCTTCTCATCTTCCTCCCTCCCTCCCACCCTTCTTCTCTTCCCTACTTTCCTTCCTTCCCCCTCACGCCGGCATCCTCTGGACTTGGTCGCCCTTCAGGAAGCGGCGCTCCCGACTGACCGGGAAGGGGGCAGGGGCTCTCCTTCTAACCTAGACTTAGGAGGAGAAGGAAGGGAAGGAAGGAAGGAAGGAAGGAAGGAAGGAAGGAAGGAAGGAAGGAAGAGGAAGGAAGGAAGGAAAGTGCCCGGGTAGAGGCAACTTTCTTGGCCTGGTTTTGCAATAAAAGCGGGAGGAGGCATCCCCCTCCATAGCCGGACACACTTTTTCTTTTTCTGAGGAAGTTCCCAGGCTCAATGGCTCCCCCCCCCCCCGCCCCCTCTCCCAGGCAGCTTCCAAGCGCGTTGCTGTCCGAGCTTTGGTTTTGTTTCGAAGTGGGGCGCGCGGCCCCTGGAGGCAGGCTTTGCCGAAGGGCAGGGGAAGAGCTGCCACCTCAAGGTCGGGAAGCGGTTCCCGGAGTGTAGGAAGAGTCTCTTTCTGGGGAGGTTTCCACGCCAAGGCTCTGCATGCCCGCCTGGCGGAACGGGCTTGGGCTGGAGGGCCCTTGGTGTGGGTCTCTTCCAACTTCCTCTCCATCTCGATTCCGAGCAAACAAAAAGGAGAGGATTTCCACCTCCTGGTTTTGTAGCTATCTCTGCGAGGCGCACATATTCCTCCCCCTCCTCTTCCTTCTCGACTTCTTCTCCCTTTCCTCCTCTGAAATGCAGTTTCTTTCCGTTCTCTTCCTGAGGGGAAGCCGGGAAGCCCCAAGTGGAGGGCCAGGTCTTCTCCGGCCGCTTCGCCGCTCTGCCCACCCGCCCTCCTTCCCTCTTGTTGCCTGGGTTGCCTCTCTTGCTGGGGAGTCTTCCGTAAGAGGCGGAGAAGGGGCTGAGCCTGGAGGGGGGAAAGACAGGTGCCTTCTCGCAGGGAAGGAAGTGCCTCTCTCTCTCCTCCCTTAACTGCTTGTCCTTCTTCTGTCCGGGTGCCCAAGTGCTTTCGGGTCTGAGCAGCTGTCACTTTGGTTTCCAAGTAGGGAACACAGAGAATCTCCCCTAAAGAGAAATCGCAGATTTAAGAAAGGATTTCAGTCTATTGCTATTGTTACTGTCTTTCAAAACCTTCTCCCCTCTCTCCTTCATCTCCCTCCTTCTTTTTCTTCCAGTATTTCCTCTACCCCCTTCTCTTCCTTCTCTCTTTCTTTCCCCTCTTTTTCTTCATCTTCCTTCTCTCTTTCCTCTTCTTCATCTTCCCCTCCTGTTCTCCATCTTCCTCCTCTCCTTCCTTTCCCCCTCCTCTCCTTCCTTTTCTCCTCTTCTTTCTCTTCCTCCTCCTCTTCTTCATCTTCCTTTTCACCATTTTCCTCCTCTCCTTTCCCTCCCTCTTCTTCTTCATCTTCCGTCTCTCTTTCCTCTTCCCCTCCTCTTCTTCATCTTCCTCCTCTCCTTTAATAATGCACCATACTTTTCTTCCTCTCTCCTTCCTTTCCCTTTCTTTTCCTCTCCTTCTTTTTATTTTTTTTTCCTCCTTCATCTTCCTCTTCTCCATCTTCCTCCTCTCCTTCCCCCTCCTCTTCTTCATCTTCCTCCTCTCCTTCTCCTTCCCATCTTCTCCATCTTCCTCCTTCCTCTTCCCCTCCTCTCCTTCCTTTTCTCCTCTTCTTCCTTCTCTTCCCCCTCCTCTTCTTCAGCTTCCTCCTCTTCTTCCTTTTCCTCCTCCTCCACTTGAAAATGATCTCTTTTCCTTCTTAATGTTAAGGATGGGAATTACTGGTTGCTTCGAACCATCCCGCTCTGTGAAATGAGGGGGATTGTCATCTCTGTATTGTTGAAAGCTTTCATGGCCGGAATCACTGGGTTGCTGTGCGTTTTCTGGGCAGTGTGGCCATGTTGTAAAAGCATTCCCTTCTGATTTTTTTGCCCACCTCTATGGCAGGCATTCTCAGAGGTTGAGAGGTCTTTTGGAACTTTTCAAGTGGGGTTTATATATCTGTGGAATGTCCAGGGTGGGAGAAAAAACTCTTGTCTGGAGATAGGTGTGAATGTTTCAATTGGCCACCTCAATTAGCATTCAGTGGTCTTGCAGCTTCAAAGCCTGGATGGTTGCTGCCTGGGGGAATCATTTGTTGGGAGGTTGCATGTTAATCAAGATGAGCAATTGCAACATTCACACTTGTCTCCAACAGACAAGAAGAGTTATCTCACCCACCCTGGATATTCCACAGATATATAAACCTCGCTTGCCTAGTTTCTGATGGGCCTCACAACCTCTGAGGATGTCTGCCACATATGTGCGTGAAATGTCAGGAGAGAATGCTTCTGGAGCATGGACATAGAGCCTGGAAAACTCACAGCACCCCAGATTGTCATCTCTGTTTGTTCATTAAATTGTGTTGTTCATTCATTCACCCATCTATGACCCAGAGATTGAGTCATCATGTTGCAAACATGTCAGGAGAATCTTGTGTCATCTTACAGATCTGTTGTGATATTTATGGGAAGAAGCTCCAGCAAAAGGGTGTCATTCTAAGCATGTTTTGTAGTGTTCAGTGGGGTTGACTTCCATGTAAGTCTGTGTAGGAATTCTGCCATAACCAAGTCCATGCTGTTGTCTTTGTGAATTGGGCTGTGGACCATGAAAGCTAAGGACATAATTGCACATCTTTAAGATTCCAGGTACTATAGGCTGTGTTTTAGAGGAAGTAATGGACAAAACAAGTTCTGGGTATTCCTTGCCTGAGAAAAGCCTTGAAATGTTGCTATAAGACCACAGGTGTCTCGAAGGCACATACACACACTCTTACAATACTTCAGAAGGAGTTAGCCATCCTTTTAGAGTTGGATTCTAAGCCTCAGCAGGTTCTCTTAGAAGGAAGTACCAACCAGTGAGACTCACTGCTTGAAACCTGTGCAACCTGGGTTGTCTTTCTGACATTTGAGTGTTTTTTGTGGATTTAAATGAGATGAATGTTGATCATAAGGAAGAAATGAGGGGCATGGAAAAAAGAAAGCAGATTAGTGGGCAAAATATGTGTGCATAAGAACAATGTATAACAAATGTTACTGAAACAATCAGGGCCAGCTAATCACCTCCCAACAAAAGATTCCCTCAGGCAGTAAGAAGCCAGACCTTGAAACTGCTGGGCTATTAAATGCTAATCAAGGTGGCCAAACATTCACACCTAGCTCCAACAGACAAGAATTCTTTATCCCACCCGGGACATTCCACAGATATATAAACCCCATTTTCCTAGTTTCCAACAGACCACACAACCTCTGAGGATGCCTGCCATAGATGCAGGCAAAACAGTAGGAGAGAATGCTTCTGGAACATGGTCATATAACCCGGAAAACTCACAACAATTGAATGTTACTGAGATTGTGATTGTACGAACCTTATTACAAAATTTCACACTTGGTTTCCTAATCTGTTTCCTTTTCTGAAAGTAAATCCCATTGTGTTCAGTGGGAGTTAGTACCTTGTGCACAGGTTTAGGAACAAACATTTCCAAACATTTTATGGGAGCATTGACTTAGGAGAGCTGGGATGAAGATTCATAGATGTGCATTATGATAATGTTACAGTGCTCTGATCTAGATGACTGGAAGGAAGAGAGCAATATTTTTTGTTATCGTCCCATCTATTGGTTTTCTCATAGCTCTGTGAAAATGAATAACTTCATGATTTAAAACATTAACTCTGATACAGCACTAGCTGAGCCTCTTAATGGTGGGATGGATCTCTATAGTGTAATGGCGCTTAATGCTTTTCCATTTGCTGGAGCATTTTTGCTATTGATGTAATTATCAGCAGGACTGAACCAAACACCAACACACTGGGAAAAAATGAACACATCTTTCATGTTTTCATCTGATGTAAAGTCTAATCTACATACCATTATAATGATTTATTAAATAATGAGTTACAATCTGCCTGATGCCTTAGCCTCACTGAAGCAAAAGCTTTGGATAGTGGTGGTATGAAGGTTGTCGAAGCATTTCAAATGGCATTTTGTTCCTCGATGAAGTCTATAAAGGATAGCTTTATACAGTATAGGATAATTTTGCTCCATGTTGGTGTTCTGAATGCGGAAAACTCTTCCATTACTAGAAGGACTAAAATGCTTCTTGGGCTTATGTGGCCTCCTTCTGTCTTGCAAATTGCTTCCAAGTAAATGTAACCAGGTGCCTTACCTTTTTGGCCAGTGGGCAGGCTGAGAGGAATAATGAGTGCTGCAGAGCTTTGCATTGGGGAAGGTGGCTGTAATAATGATTTGCAAACTGCCTTCAAACCATAGTTACAAATCACTGCTCGACTATTATCTTTCTTGACATTATAGTGGAAAACTGATTGC